TACTTTGTCCATCCCTTAGTTGTGAAAACAAATATATCAACCAACACAATAAGCAAAGAAATTTGAACTTTTTATTCCCCATTTCTAAAGGGTGGTTGATATAGTCTGTCTTCGTTAGTGTTTGTGTGTTTGTCTATTAGCAAAATATCTCGTGATTTCAACCTGGAAAGACTCACACGAAGACAAACTGAAATTAGGTTGTTTATTGATATGACTGAATTAGCAGGATTATTGACGTGATTGACAGAGTTTGGCGCTCAGACCCTGGCAGAGGATGTGAGCGCTGGGAGATGATGTAAGCTCAGATGAGCTGCTTAAGATGAGGGGTAGGAGTTTCTCCTCCCTCAGGGGCCCGGACACTGGTGGTGATAGTCATAGGAGAGGGAATCCCTTGGAAGCAGGCATATGAAGAGTGGAGGAAGGGTAGCTGTAAATTGACGTTCGGCTGGCAAGCAGACAGAGTGATTTTAGAGGATGGTTTTATCCACTGACTGTCAGATGCTGATTAGATGTGGCTGGGCTTGTGACGTGGAGACTACATGAAGCAGGTGAGGTCGATTAGTCTTCCAGAGTTGAACTTTTGTCTAGACTCCATTTGTCAGATCTTAATGAAATTCTCTTAAAAGGCACAATGTTTAGGATTTTGTCAATTATTGAGATAATCACTAAAGACAATAATAAAAAATATGTCTAATCATTGCAGACAAAGACCTTGTTTTATTATTTTTACCTTATAAAAAGCTGTTTACATCTCCATGGTTGCGGGTCGCCAGTACAGGCAGCCGCCATCTGCACCGCCATCTTGTCTACGAAGGCTCATGAAGGACAAACTGCGGTGGCGGCGTCAAAAACGGTTTTAGTTGTAATACTCTAAATGTAATATTTGTTGTCTGTCATTGTAGCTGGGATAATTTTACTTATTAAAGCTCATAATCTTACCACTTGAAACATCACTAYCCCTGAAGCTGCTGGTAGACATCGCGGTTGGAATTATCAAAGGTTTTTGACACCTGAGAGACACCGTAGCAACTCCTTTGCGTTTGGAAGCAGGGGGTGGGGGTGGGGGAGGACCAGGGAGGATGATTCAACCACTCAACCACTAGATGTCGCTGAAAACAACAAATCCTACGCACTGTGCCTTTAAAGTAACTATTGCGTGCATGTACAACTGATTAACTTTAGGAGTCAGTCTAATTTGATAGGGCTGCAACAGGTAAACAACCTTAGTTAACACATTAAATTACTATTAACCAGTGGCGGGCTGTGCATTTTACACCTAGGTCTTCAATTGGGAGAGGACGGACCTGCTGGACACGGAGATGCGGGGGGGAGGGGGAGGGGTTGCTGACTGCGGAGGAGTCCGTGCTTGCAGAAAGAGCAGGGACGGAGAGGCTGCCAGCTCTGAACTTAATAAGTTTATAATAAAAAAAATCTATAAGACAGTCCTATAGGTCTGTATGCAAAACGAGGGAAACCCCGTCTAATTTACAGACAATCTGTACAACTTGACATGAAGCCACGGCTACAAAAACCACCAATAATACACAGAAACTCAGAACAATATGCTGCTGCACAGTCAGATGCCTCAGCTGCACGGGTCTCACGAAGCCAGAATGAAAGTCATCACTGAAGCAACACATTTAACAAGTTTTCTCTACTGCAGCCACAGCTGGGCCATACATTAACAACAGCATCAATACGGTTATATAATAAGCTGATAACTAAATAAAACATTTAAACAAAATATATTTTACTCACAGCAACTTTTTTCCTCAAGGAAAATCCGGCTCCTCAGTTATAGAGGTCCTCATGGCATTTCGTTTCAACAATAAGTCCTTTTCTATCACCACTATGAAGCTAACCCTGAAAGTCCAGTCTGTTCTGTTCTGTTCTGTTCTTTTGTATTTTTGCTATAAGTTTAAATTTTCTGTAATGCTGAGAATATCCGCTTGGCATAACAAAAACTAAAATTAAAAAAACATTTTAGTTAACTGAAATAAATAAAAACTAAAACAAAATTTATGGATTAATTATGTATATCTGTTCTACCTTGACACTGTCTAGTAACCATATCTTATTAGGTATAACCAGTTTCAGCTGTTTTACTCTATCGGCCTGATAAGGTGTTTCCAGGCTGACAGCCCTGTCATTTGTTTAGATGGTTACAGTTGGCGATCTGTGATAGGTTATAAGCATGTCACATGATGTTATCATGATGTATATTATTGGCTGCTTTCCGCTGACACGTCAGTCACAACTCAGCGGATTTCCTGATTGACTGTCCGCTGGGTTGTTGCTCAGAATTAAATCATTTTGATGACCATACACGCAGACTTTCTGTGCATTTATTCCAACGTGTTTCTGCATTTTTGGTAAATCATAACACGACACAGTATAATCCTTTTGCAAAACTAACTAAAATTAACTGAAATTTTTGACAGAATATCCATAGTTTTAGTTTTTGTCAATTTATTTTAAGCCATGTGGATGGATTAAACAATTATTTATTTATTTTTTAAATTGAGCGGATTCATATTAGCTGCAGGCAGTTTTGCAATAATGGTCCATAACGTCATTTGTTTACAATCTGCTGCTGCTCAGTGCTATTGTCTGTCCTGTCCTACAGGCTAAATATTGCATTAGTGTGACAAATACAACTTCAAACCACTTCAAGTACATTAGTCAACAATTATTGCACATGAAGAAATCCTTTGCGGTATGAATATTGTGCACACATTGTGATGAAAATATATTTGTTATGTTGTACAATCCTATTAGACTCAAGATATTTTGTAAGGTGGTTTGTGTTCCTCACCATTTTTCCAAGAAAAGATCCAATAGCATTTTGTGAATGCTTTGCAGTGTAGTTAATTTATGACATACAGTATTTCTGCTCAGACTATGTACAAATCTGTCAAGTTTCCGATATTATGGGTCGCCCCAATTGTAAACTCATTCCTACACCCTTGGCTGCTGGTTAGTTAACTCAGAAACACCATAGACAGTAGGAAGCATTGGCAAATAAGGTTTTTCAAACTATAAGATAACTAATACTGGAACTAATAAAAACTAAACTAAACTAAAAGTAAGCATTAAACAAACAATAAAACTAGCAAATCCACTCTAAAAACTAATAAAAACTAACTGAATTTAAAGAAAAAAGTCAAAACAAAATAAAACTAAACTATAATGAAAAATCCAAAACTATTATAACCTTGCCTTATATTGACACGTTGTGTTGAGTTTTGACACAGTTTGTGTTGATATTAACACATCTGTTTTAAGAGTGTATGAAAAGAAGAGTACAGATATTTCAATGATAATAATATCCTTATAATAATATTAATAACTATTATAATAAATATAAAATATTCTATAATGTAATGATTCTGACTGTTTAGGCCAGCAGAGAAGGCTTTGCTGGCCCTGACGGCACACGCCGGCTCTTAACTGAATCGATTTCATAAATATTAAAATAAAATTTGGTTTGATTGTAGGTGAGTATCAACTCCAACACATACTTTGAGCACACCATCTTTGCCATGGCATCCTAAATTGAATGAAGTGAGAGTTACAGAAGACTACTTGTTTAAAAATACTTTTACGACAAGCTTAAAATAAAACCCAATTGTAAAAATAAACAAAAACAAACAAAAGCATTTAAACAGTCAATAAAATGCCAAGAAGTATGATTTTTTTTCTAATTTAGAGAAATCTTCAGACATTTGCATTGGAATGTTGGTTTTACCAAACGCAAAACAGAAGCAACCAGACCTGTAAATCAAATCAACCAGAACTTTAACTTCCTGCATTGAGGATTTCCATTTGACCATTTCCTCAGTAAACAGCCTCTTCATTTTTCCCTTTTATCCTTGATCAATAACTCCTCCCTTCTTCTACTGTCCATCAATACTGAATTCGGAGTGCATTTGGGCTGAATCTATATGTATAGATTTATTTTCTATGTATAACCTCATCTGGTATTGCAAGAACACATTCTTGGCAGCTAAAGATGAATATTTTTAACATTAACATTAAACAAAAAAATGCAAGGACTGGGTGTATTTGGAAAGAGGGGGTAAATGAAATACTCCACCTTAACAATTAGGAAGAGACAAGAGCGTCTTTCATGAGACAGTAGCGAGATGATTAATTTGTCATCTTGGAGCAAGAAAAAAAAAAGGAATAGAGGGGGAGGTAAAGAAGTGCCCCTTCTGTCCTCCTGTTCAGTAATAGGATTGTTCACTTGCTGATGTGCTGAATAAAATGGAAATTAACTAATTTTCCATCGCACATACTCACACTCTCTCTCTCCCACACATTATATATAAATAAAGATATATATATACATACATACATACATACATAC